TTCGAAAAACGTCACCGACAGCGACTGGTGAAAGCCTAAAGCGATAGTTTGGCATGACTGCTCTTACCAACGTCTGTTAAAAAGGATGTACAATAATAATAAGGTTGTTAACAAAATACGGTAATTTACGTCCAAGAACATGTACATTGGGATGACCCGGTCGATGCGTTTTAATTAAGTACCACCTTAGAGGGCGCCTTCACAGAAAACTGTTACCCGATGAAACGTACAGCGCTTTCATTGGCAGTCTAATGATGAATAAAATACAAAGCAACAAATTGATAATGCACAAAACTTAAATAAGCAACTTTCTGGTCATACAGTTATGCAACAATTTAAATTAATTATGTATCCAAAAAAAACTTGACACTACAATACGTCTTTAAAAGTCACTTTGTAAATGTATCAGTTCGCTGGAAGCATGGGCCGAAAACGCAAGAGTGGTTTAACAGAAGTGCCCTGAGTACTCGGAAGCTTCAAAATTCTACATTAAGAAACGAGGCAAATGGGGAGTGCATAATATATGCGTCAATGTCGTCCAACCAGTTCAATATGGGATAATAGACCAATAGCTATTTACGGTGTGCATGTGTGGGCTAGAGTTTACTACTGGGGGTTTGCAGTGACAAGTAAGACGATAATGTACAATGGACTGGAACGAGTTATGGGGATTGGCGTTATTTAGGAGCTGTTTGAAGCCGACTTATTTGTATTACCAACTAGGGCAAACATAGGTGTACCTAAGCCTTACATCGGCAAGGCGTATTGTGTGTGGTCGAAAGTTAGAATGTTTGCCATTTGCACGTACCCATACAACTAATATTATTAGGATACTAAATTTTTTGATGGCAGGTGAATGACCCGAAATCTTGGTGACCAGAAAAGGAAGATTCATATAAGCAAAATAGTACAATGTTTTGATATATTTAGTACCCTGGAAAAAAAGTGAAGTAAAAATAAGGAAAATTGTGTTATATTGCAATGAAGATCAGTGGTGATTTGGTGTATATTTGTGCAGAATGTTACCTAGTTGGTCGTGCGACCTATTATTGTTAATGTAACATTTTGTCTCAATGCACATCAGTGAGAATATCTTTCATATATACCAAGAGTTTATTTATATGGTAACCCGCCACATGTGTATTCCGCATTTCTAAACAAAAACATATTCCTTAATTTAAAGACGAAATATGGAGTTCAAATCGTAATTTGATAACGGGGAATAAATATGTTCAGTTTGTAGAGCATTACAAACAATGGCACTTGGATAATTGATTCACCGAGTATTTTTTAGTCTAATATATATTACCGTCAATGTTAATGTGTGTAGATTTTACCAAAATGAAAATATGAAAAATGTCATGTTTGCCCACAAGAAAAAAAAACTGGAAGCGCCAAATGTTGCAATGGGAGGCAATAAGTTACGAGTATTTCCACAGTACAGAATGTTAAAGAATAATGACTGGATCATATACACAAACAACATTTAATTATCCCAGTAATTGGCTAAAAAAAATAGTTGTAGATGATACTCTCTATGAAAATTATATAGTAAATTATAATTGTGTTGTAAAATATGTAGTAATACTTCATAATTGATACAGAAAATACAGAATTAATATTAGAAATAATTGATTTGTACTGTTTGACATTTTGCTGAAATGAATTTACGCATAGTTATTAAGTATTTATTTGTGCAATATATATCAATGTCAATGTGTGTAGATTTTGACAAAGTGAAAATATGAAAAATGTCATAGTTGCGTTCAAAAAAAAATTGAAGCGCCGAATGTTGCAATGGAAGATAATATGTTATATTCGCACAAATAATTACAGTTTAAACACACATTTAAGTATTTTTTTTCTTCAAATATATATCAACTAATTTTGTATATGCAATTAGGGAAACATAAAATCATGTTTGTCACAATAACAGTATTCGAATCTCAGTTGAACAAAGTTGGTGTTTCTAAAACCTAACTGATTGAACTCGATTCATCAGTGGTGGTATTTAAACACTGCATTGCTCATAATTTTGAAGTGAAATAAAAAAAAATATGTTAGCTTTTCAAAAAAGAAACCAGTTTCTAAATTAATATTGCATATATATCATTAGTATTTGCACGACAAATATCGTATCGTATAGACAAGTGTAACATTAAGTACACTCAAAGTTGCGTTCTACAATGATTGCATATGAACCGGATACCGCACAACAATCTCTCATGTATTTACCACGCGTTCACATGATTGACAGTGAAAATTCACTCACAGAAAAAAATATTAAAGAAACTACTCAAATTAATGATCCCAGGCAGTACAACATAATTTTACGCATGATCTCAAGGACATATATAAAGGCCAGGTAACAGTTTTGACTTTGAAAAATTTAATAACAAGCAAATTACATTAGTAAAGACAAAACTGTCGTTAATCAAAACAGGATGTCTCTATAAAATGATTATGGTCATGCATATATCACGTTAACTATTGTTTCTGCAAATGAATACATTTCTTGAAAAAAACTTAGAATCCCCTGCCATGCAATGCACATGAGTTGTCATTGCTCTTTGCTTGATGTCAATCATAAACAAAAATGTGAAAATTGTCTTTATTTCCCACGTATAACAGTTATCACAATACTACATTATCACACATTTCGTGCACGAATGTAATAAACATGGTCAAAATAATTCCATTTTGAAAAAAATAAAGTTTTGCTAGACTGTTTAAAGTTAAGATAGTGAATTCACATTTTAAAAATATATTGTGCTCGGTTATACAAAAATGAAGTAATACACCAATGATAAATATTCTATTAATCGGGTTGTTATTTCTGTTGCGATAAATTTTCTAATAATTGCTAATTTAGTAAACTACATTGATTTGGTGGCACTAAGTTAATCTAAATTGAAGTCTTCCCTTATGAAAAAAAAATATTTTATTCAGAATGTATTTATGACTGTACTATTATGACCTATCATAAGTGACTTATTAGCCAAACATATGTTACACATTGCTATGTAATATTACAATCGCTATCAATTCTTTTAACATGCTTACATTGCCTGTTATACATGTTAATTGCTCGTCGAATGGAGGAGTACTTATTATGTTGTCTTTTGGTAATTTAGATAATGCAGTAATTTGTGGTTGATGATTTAGTACATTCGTGAATTGGTAAATGTATTTTCAGGAAGCGTTTTCTTCAAATTGTCATTTTACCTTGACCCCAACTGTACTTGGCATTTGATATGTTGAATCAAGCTCCCGGGTATCTGGAGAGAGTGACATGTAATTATTATCTTCTCCATGCGCCTGAAATAATAAAGACTGAGTAATAAGTTTAAATACATTTTTTTTTCTAACACGAATATTCAAATACCATATTATTTGAATGATTGTGGATACAAATAACAAAATAGTTTCCTTATCTTTATTCATTTAGTATATTTCTAACTCAATATCGAAACAAAATAAAATAGATCAAAATATTTGAATTTTATAAATATTATTAATTCAACCAAAACATTAATTAACCACGTGTATTTACTTATGTAACATACGCGCAAAGTAGTCAAAGTGAGACATTATATGCAATTAGCGTTATAATTTAATTTACAAGATTATTCCAATGTTATGTTTTGCCGAAATCGTGGTTGTGTCTGTATTGATTTGCATTATGGCTGCTAACATTAAATATGACGTTATAATGCTTGCATTAGAGTCCTTCATTCGATACAATTAAAGAAATGTAAAACATGTTATTATTGTATTGTAGATTGACACAGATTAAGATGCTGATTGACAGATTTGTCTTAATATTAAAATTTCGTTTAAGAAATAAAAGTTCATTTACAATTTAAAAATTATTTACCTTAATTTGCATTGCCATTGTTGTTTCATATGCGTGTTCGACATTTCCTGTCAGGGGGGAAACTGTTGTATAGATTCGAGCATCTTCAGAATGCTTGAAATGAAATTAAAGAAAATTAATTAAAAATAAATATAGATAAAACATAGATAAAAAACATAGCTAAACTGATCAAAATTGATTTACCTGTTTTGTTCTGTAATTCTTTGCACGTCTGTATAAAACAAGTAAAACACCAATGACAACTCCAGAACATATCAACGTGGTAACCAGTATTCCACTAATAATACCAACATTACATGTCCCACAAACAGGTTCTGAATGAAATAAGCATACGACAATGTACATATGCAATTCAAAAACGTTGTCGCCAATTTTGCTTTCCGCGCGACAGTAAATGTGAGAGAAACTGGTAAGATGACATCCATAATCGATTTGAAAGTAGTATAGTGGCGTTGATGATAGTGCAATGCGAAAAAGACAGAATTGAATATATACCTTCAGATAATGCGTAACTAGCTTCAAACCCACGTTTTTCACATTTACCATTAATTTCACAATATGTCACAATGTACGTAACGCTTGTATCATCTACTTTATACATTAATATATCTCTATCAATGCATTCCTGTACAACAACCAGCCTTCCATATGCGTCTTTCTTTTCAATCTTCACACATTGGTATTTAATATTTTCATGTCGTGACCAGGCAAGTGTATTAGTCCCTGCATTCATTGTAACAGTTGGTTTAACTATATAATTACAATTGATGTGGGGGATAAATATGTATAAGTAAATATAAGTATATGTGACATTGAACGTAGAGTTTGTGTCTAAAACATACGGAAAATGGCGAATAAGAACGATTAGATGTAAATATGCATAACTTAACTTACAATATGTATTAAACAATTGTATACTTGAAAACTCTCCCATTCCGTTGTTGTTTTTTGCCTTTGCCCTGATTTCGTACGCTGTGGATGGTACTAACTGCAGTAAATATACAGTCATGTTGCGTGTTCCCATTCCATCTGACGGCCATGGCACAAACACGATATCCAGTGGTGAACGATATTCTACAAAGTACAGAACGTTTTCTGGATCTCCACCATGACTTCCGGGTAGTATTTGTAGTGTCAACGAATCATAATAACGATCTATAATGTTTATACCAACAGGTGCTGCCGGTGTGTCTAATGTATATGAAATATAAAATATCAAATAATATAATGTAAGTAATGTATATTATATCTGAGTTGTATTTATATATTCTCGGATATATCTATGCTGTGCTCACCTGACTGTAGCAGCTCAACGTGGAGTATAACCCATCCTACATCATTAGTTGCTCTTACATTATATATACCAAAATGATTGTGATTTACTAAAGTGATCGTGACTGTACTTGTTGATGGTGTATTTTCATTATTGTCTAGTACCAGGTCACCTTTCATCCATGCACCAAATGTTACTGGTAGAGGATATGCATCCACCGATAGGACCATGGACAGTGAGTCACCAGCTTTGCAATAATATACATTGTCACTAACAGCAGTTGGTAAATCTGTCAATGTATTACAAATATTGATAGTTAACCGTGTGCAAAATGAATGGTATTGGTTTTTGATATTTTAGTATTGTGAACTTAATCATAATTGTGGTTTATCTATCAAGAGGTACCATTATTTTAGAATTAATATGTCCATAACATTAGTAAATATGGCACGACTACAATATATAATTTAAACAAGTCTTAAGTTGTGCTATAAATACTCACAGTGTACAATCATATTGAAAATTATTGTTTGTGGATTATTCTGGATATCATGATTACTTTCACATTTTAATTTCTTTCCAAAGTCTTCCCTATTTGGTGTCAATGATAATTCACTAACTGTGTCTTTTCTACCATCGCTAGCCCATACTATTCTACTGTTGACATTGCTGGTAATTATATCATCATCTATATACCACTCTATACTGGCGGCAGGATGGGCTTTAGTAGTTATACATGTGATTTGAAATGATTCTCCAGATGCCATGGTAACATTACTGTTGTCAGGGTAACCATCAAAATATAAACTGTCTGGAGATACTGTAAGGCAAATATAGGTTATATTGTTAATATCAACTACTAATAGAATGTATTATTTCCAGAGATGTAATAAGGTTATTATTATCATTATATACTGGTATATGTAAACACATTTACATTTACGGACGAGCCATTTAAATCCATAATTTACTTCACAGTAATAATGCACATTTCAGTTACATACGCAAGTCGCTAATCAGAAATGTAGACACGTGATAACTCTTCAATGTTTTATATTGACATAAATTATAAATATTATGAAATTACGATTGATACATCATACTCGTAGTAGTTCAGTGTTGTCATGTGTAGACTTTGGCATGATACAAATGTTGTATGAAAAAATGTACAAATATTCATTTAGAAACTATTTAATTTCATGTTTTAGCCTAAATGCCATTTTTCAGTGGCAATTTAGTTCATTTCAATTGATAGAAGCCCATTCTGGAAGTTGGCATTTGTAGCCCAAAATTAGCCGCATTTCACATAACATATAATAAATTTGAAAGAAAGTTCATGATCAGAATTCACAAATTGTTACTCATAAATTTATAAACTAAATGTCCTAGATGTCATTTTTAGATGTCACCACTAATGACATACTGGACTTCAAGGTCATTGGATAAGCCAAAAAAAACTGTGACGACATTGCTGATACTCGAGATTCCTGCTCCACACTTCGATTAGCTAAAAGCGTATGTATCCACAGTTAGTCAAATTATCTATGTACACAAAGAGACTGAATTCTCGATTATTATTGGGATTTAATAATTTGATGCTGACAGTATAGGCGCAGTGACTTTTGACCCGGCCCCGTGATCTAGTTACATACATGTGTATGTCAGGCATAGACATAACAACGTGCACTTTTAAATATGTACGTGTTATATGTTTGCTTACCCCACACATCAAGTGTAAGTTCTTTAATAAAAGGTTTTCCTTTAGCAATAGTTGCATCATTTGTAGCTTTACATGTCAACGTTGTATTCTGATGGTCTAGATAAGTTGGTGTGAATGTCATGGTACTTGTTGTATCTTTCAGATCACTATCTTGTGTATTATCTGATATTGTCTCATCGTCATTTGGATTATCATTATCAACAGTCCACTGTATGTCAGATGCGGGACGTGCTGCCATAGCAACACAAGTTAATGTAGTCATGTGACCAAAAGTAACTATGACAAAGCCAGATGACTCTTCTGAATGATAACACTAATAGAGATACTGAAATAGAATA